CTTAAATATCATTTCACTGGAAAAGGCTTTCTCACCCCCTATTACACCCACCAAGAGCCACCTGCCCTTCTCCCTCGGTGCCACCCAGGGCATTTTTTACCACTTGATGCTCACGAATCTCCCCACTAAACTCCATGAGAATGGGAACTGGGTCGTGCCCATGGTCTGACACACAGGAGGTGCTCAAAAAGGGCTTTAGATTGGTCAAATGAACAAATGTATGCATGAATGAATGAGCAACCCATGGCTTTGCCCACGGTGATCACCGTCTCCTCCATCATGTAATCCTCACGGCCACCATGTCTCTTATCGCCCTTGCCAAACTCCATTCTAGGAGTTATATTTTTTGGTTCATCTTCTAATGTTGTCTATTTCACTCCCAAACCAGGCACTTCAAAACAAAATCTACCAGACTTGAACTGTTGAACCGACCTTCATATTCAGGAGCATTTTGATTACAAATAACAGAAATAAGCTTTTAAAAAAATCATTCTGAGTCACAGCCTGTAAAAATAATAATAAATTAAATTTAAAAATAAAGAAGAAAGATTATGGACGCGCACACATACATCTGCCTCGTCTTCGGGGGAGACTGGCTACAGAACATCAAGCCATTACATAGGACCTCCACCTGCCTCTCTCCCACTCTGGACCAGCCTAATCCTCACTCTGGACCAGCCTAACCCTCAGGAGGGCAGTCTCTCCCCTCAGGGAAACATTACGTCACCAGCAGCAACCCGGTTGACCTCTATCCCCTCATCAACTCCAGCAGAAAGAGGGCCTCTTTTTCGTAAGGGTTCCAACAGAAGTCCCAGAGCCTGGCTTCATTGGCCAAGTTTGGGTCACATGTCAGTTCTGAATCAATCTCTATGGTCCAAGAGATGGAATGTTTTGACTGGTCAGGCCTAGTCAGGTGCCCACTTCTTGGGAATGTAGACCGCGCCTGTTGGCAAGAGCCCCTCGTATGAATTATAATAACCACAGACACCATTTATTCCAGTTTTGTATGGTCGAGACCTTTCATTAAGTCCTACATCTGTAGTCCTTGTTCATCTTTACAAGGATCCTATGGGGCAAGATTATGATTGCTGACTTAGAGACAAGAAACAGAGCTCTGGGAAAGAAAGTGACTTTCCCAAGGTCAACAGCAGGAGCAGGATACGCACGGACTCCCAAGTCCACAACTTTGGCCAGGCCAGCCTCATCCTGCTTCCTCGATTCCATCGTCGATTCTCCCAACTCCCACACTGGCCCAGTTGTCTCTGCTGTCACCAGGACTCAGCACCTCCCACACGCCAGGAGACTGCCAGGTGAGAAAGGACACAACCTCCATTCGCCCAGAAGTCCATCATGTCTCCAGCTCAAACAAGCAACCTGGACACTAACAGGAGCAGAGTCACCACAGGTGACTCCAGCACTCCTGCCCCCCACCTGTCCCAGGCCAGCTGCCAGTGCTGGGGGAGGGGATTGCAATGGGTCTGTCTGGGCAGCCCAGGGGCTCCCTGACTCCCCTGTCTGAACAGGACCTGCCCTCTTGGAAGAGAAGGTCCCCAATGTCCTGGCAGTGTGCTGACTCCCAACACTCCCAAAGAAGAATGGAGAAGAGGAGCTGAGCCCAATGCCAAAGGTCAAGACAGGAAAACATGACACGTCTGGATTCGATTCATGTTTTAAACATATCTGCTCTTTGCAAATCCTTGGTCAAACCAAGATATGCCCCATGCCCCCTTTGGATATCCTTCCTTGTATCAGGTCCCAGAAATGAAGTTTGAGCTCACACATGCAGGTTTGTCCACCAGTAACAGTAATAATGATGCTGTTGGCTACAGCTTTCTCCTCCGTTGCATCAGCTCTGTGCCAGACTCTGCTCAACCCCATAACACACAATAACTCAATTAATCTTCTCGACAGTTCAATGTCCTTATCATATAGATGAGGAAACTGAGACACAGGAGTGAAAACTATAAAGCCACTCCTACGTACTTGCTCTTGATGCTCCGCTTACTCAGCTCTGTATCTGTTTAGCATCTGATGGCCAATGACCCAGTGACAGAGCCTGGCAAACAGGCCTCTGCTGATTTCAGTGTGTTTTGCTGCATTTTTTACTTTAATTGTCTACTTTCATCAGATTCTGTTTTGCTTCCAAAAACTTTTGGAAGCAAGTGTGGTATAAATTCCAAACATTCCCATTATTTGTACGCTTGACTGTCCCATCTAACAAGTAGCAAGGTTTGTAGGGATTGTGTAGGGTACAGATCTGGGAGGCCCAATACAGACAGAGCTCAGATCACAGGGTCCCCCAGAACCAGTAAGGATTTTGGACTTTAGCCCACAGCTATGGGGAGCCAATCAAAAGAGCCATGGAGCCTACTGGCTAGGAGCATGAACTGTGGAGTCAGATAGCCCAGGTTCTGACTCACCAGCTCACCGGCTACTTGGGGAGCTAATTAACTACTCTGGGCCTCAATTTCCTCATCTTTAAAATGAGACTGAAAATAGTACCAACCTCAAAGGGTAACTGAATACTGAGTGAGTTTGCCTATATGAAGTATTAAAACAGAACCTGGCACACAGTAGGAGCTCCATTAGTATTCACTCTTACGGTCTCCAACCCATAGCCATGGAGAGAGCAAAAACCTCCATCTGTCACTAGAAGACTTAGGCCCAAGTGAGGCAGCCACTTTCAAGGTCACCCAGGAAGACGTTCCACCAATAAAAGAGAGCCTAAGGCCAAGACCTGTGCTGGGTAAAGGATCACCCACATCATCTCATACCCCATCCTAAAAGCACTCACTTGGGACCCTGAGTCCTGGCAGAAGTAGGAGCCACCAGTCCGACTGGGCCTGGCAATGGAGGGAGTTCCAATCTGAGGTCAAGTGCTCTTGAGGCTCCGCTTACTGAGCTCTGTGCCTCATGGAGCTCCAATTACTCCCTAACCAGGCTCAGCTCTGCAACTATCAAGCATGTCCTCTGGGCCATGTCAACCTCAACAAATACCCACTGAGCACCCAGCACTCAGGGCAGAGGCCAGGGAATGGGCACAAGATCTTGTCTTTGAGGAAACCCTTTGTCTTACATCCCTTCAGGCTCCTCCCCCAAAACTACAAAAAACCAGCTAATGTGTGTGAAAGCACCAGGTCAAGTGTTGGATACACAGCACGTACTTTGTGAGTACTCAGCTATTTGCTATGAGGAATCTGGCTGGAGAGTGCAAAGAACTCATTACATCCTTCCAGAGGAAACTAGCCCAGAGTAGAGTGGTCACAGGATAATTTGGTGTGCCCAAGGCCCAAGCACTGTCCCACAGTAGCCTCTCACCATCCTGGCCTCGTCCTCTGAGGGGACAAGGATTAAGGAAACCGATGAAAGAGTGGGGAGGAAATAAAACCCAGGAGAATGGAGGGGGAGGGAGCAGCCTCCGGCATCAACGCTGGGTTTTGCCGCAAGAAGGGGACTGGTGACCTGGGTGGGCAGGGCTCAGGGTGGGGATGAGATTGGGGAAAACAGACCAAAGCGGAGTAAAGAGTGAGGGCAAGTAAAGACAGCACAGAAAACCCTCTCTAGACCTCTGATGGAAAATAGGTGAGGAGGAAAAAGAAGTGGGAAGGGGAAGGAGGGGAGGGAGGGAGCTCAGTAGCTGGAAGCTTGGGGCGCCAAGGGAGGGTTTCAATTCTAAACCAGCTACTTGCTGAGCCATGGCCAGGGAGTCAAGTCACCTCACTGAGCCTCCCTCCATTTCCTCAAGTGTAAAATGGAGGGAAATAGAACTCACTCAAAATTTATTGGGAGTACAAAATGAGTTAACCACGCAAAACATCCAGCACGGTGCCCAGCCTGCCACAGGTTCCCAGGGAATGTGTCTGCCATCCTCTCTCCTCAAGAGTGGCAGCACATTCTCATTATCAATCATCCCTACGAACACAAGAAGAAACTGGGTCTCAGAGACGAGCAGCTTACAGTCTCTGCCTTCACAGCCCCACACCCAGACACACAGTGTTTCCTGGTGCGGGAGAGGGCCATATCTGGCACAGAGCCTGGCACAAGAAACACCTGTGGATTGAATACATGGGAGAAAGCAAGACAAAAGGTAGAGAAAGGTTGCGACAGTTGTCCAGGGTGACAGTGCTGCAGAGTAAGAAGAGGGACGCGAAGGCAGCCAACCAGAGCCAGGCAGAGGAGACTCAGGCGCCATCTAGCCCAGGGATTCTCACACTGGGTGTCCCTCATGTTCACCTGGGGAATCTGTTAAGCTCAGATTCCTGAACCCCATGCCAGCCTTATTGAATTAAAATGCCAAGGGGAGGAATCTGCACTTCTAACCTGACACCCAGGTGATGCTGACGCAGATGACCATCGACCACACTTTGAAAGAGACAGGTGGGCCATTATTTTATAGAGGAGAGAACTCAAGTCCAAAGAAGGGAAGACCTAAGAGTGAGATCGCATGGCAAAGCCATACAGGGCTGGGCAGATAAACTGGTGTCCAGGCTCCAAGCCTCTGACACGCCTAGTGTCCATGAGTGCCCTGCATGTGGAAGGCCAGGAGCAGCGGGGAGAAGCCAAGTGCTGGATGACAGCCACACCTAAGGCAACTGAGGCTGCAGTAGCAGTGCCCATTGGCCAAGACCTGGCAGCTGCTGAGTCAGGACAGACCTGGTGCGGGAGTCAACTAACTCCCTAACCACCTGGCCACACTGCCTCCCGAGGAAGCAAGAAGAAGAAAGGGGGAGGGGCAACAGCAGAGGGTCTTGTGGAGGGAGGGAGGAGGCAGGAAAGGGAGGGAGGAGGCAGTGTCTGTGTGGAGAGGGGGCTCCGTACCCTCTGTGCCCGCCCAGTGACCCAGACGGGTTGGCTGCTGTGGGTCCAGGAGCACCACCCATCCTGGTGCCCCGCGGTTGCCATGCCCACCCCCGGGCTGTGTTTGCGGATGTTGTATTTGATTTCACACGTTTGGAACTCTAATTACATCATTTTGCAACACAGAGTTGCCATGGCAGCAGGTTCCATGTAACCCGGGTGGCTCAAACCTTGGAGGAGGAGGTGGAGCCCAGCTGGCTCCCCCCACCAAACCTCAACCCAGAACCTCCTTGAAGGAGAAGGCTAGGGGTGTGGGCTTGCTGGGTACCTTGAGGATCGGTTAACATCTACATTTCGTGACAGGGAAACCACGGTCTGGGCGGTGAGGCTGTACCCCCTGCCCTCCTGGCCAGCATGCTCCCCACACCCCACACCCCTTTGATGGATTCTCTGCACACCTGGCCACTCATGAGCTGAGGGTCCGACAACTGGCACCCAGCAACCGGCCTGGCTGGCTGCCCAGCTTTCTGGGGCTTCACAGCCCCTGATCAATAGGCTGTGTTTACAGACTCACACACACGGGCGAGTGGGAGGAAGGACAGTGGAGCAAGAGCACCAGCTTGGGCATCAGACCTGGATTCAAATGTTAGCTTCCCACTGACCGTGTGTGAGCTGAGCTTCCATTTCTACAGCTGAAGACAAGCACGGGGCGCTGACGCTCATCTTCAGGCTACTGAGAGGACTACTTATCACCAAGGAAAGGCAACAGAGAGCAGTAGTTGGGGGTTCTTTATCCTTTTCCTTTCTTTTTTTTTTTTAGCTTGGTCATTCATTTCCCTGTCACTGTAGCTAAGTTCAGGACTCAGCTCTGCCAACCAACCTGCTCTGTGATTTTGGGTAAGTGACTATCACTCTCTGGTCTTCTAAATCAGTGACGCAATAATCTTTCTCCAGTGCTGCCTCCTTCACCATTAAACTCCCTGCCCCTTAGCCCTAAATTCCTATTATTTAGCCTCTTATCTGCTGGCTTGCACTTACTGGGTCAAGTCAAATTAAAGAGGTGCTGGACTTCGTTCTAAAACCTCAGCAGAGATCCCAGTTTTTTCTCTTACTAGCCATGGCGGGAGCCTGAAATACGTGGGAGTCATTGCTGCAGAGAAGGGCCATAGAGAGGGGCAGCTCTCTATGGCAGCTCTCAGTCATAGCTGAGGGCTTCCTGGGACCACCAAGAAGACTCACCTATTGGAGGCATCCAATGCCGCCCATGCCCAGACCAGCTGGGCCAACAGAAGCTGTTTCCCTTCCCTGCTGCTTCCAACCAGCATGTACTCGAGATTGCTGGAAAAGTCAGATGCTGCCACATGTGCAGAAGACAGGTTCTGGGTATGACCATTCAATCCAGTCCACCCAGAGTCTTCCTGGGCTCAGCCTCTGCCCAGAAGCAGAGGACAGGTGTGGGAGTCTAGCCAGTCTGGGTCCAAATACTTCCAGAGTGAGAGTGCTGTGCCATGGAACCTCACCCCTTGACCCAGTTAAAGCCTCCTTGTCTGTAAAGTGGGGATGATCATGCTCACTTCAGAGTCATCAGAAGGATAAAAGGATGAGGCAGGCATGTGAGAAGCTGGGGAAATAGGAGGGTGAGGAAAAAGAAAATGACTCCTGGGTTTACAACTTGGCCAACTCAATAGATGAAGACTCACCAGCTAAACTGGGGTCCTTGGGGAGCGCAGATCAGCATGAGGAAGAACTTGAAGGGCCACTGTGCTTGAGGGTTCTCAGGAACATGCTGGTTGAATACTGGAGTCTGAAGGTCGGAAGAGTCAGACTGCAGAGTGGAAGTCACCAGCATATGATGTGAGCCCATGAGAAGAACAAGATTACTGAGAAAGGGCCTCCCTGATGGCGCAGCGGTTGAGCACTGGGTTGCGAAGCTGCCCACAGCCTCTGCAGCGCCAGTTCCATCCCCGGCTGCTCCCCACCCACCAGAGGAGGGTCCCACATGGTGCACAGACCTCTCCTGCCGCCCGCTGCTCCCCTCAGCAGTGTGCTTCGTCAGTCTGCCTGCTCTGCTCTCCCCTCTGGCTCTGGTGAATTCTCTCTCACCCTCCCACGCTTCTGATTGTACCCAGTAAATAAATAAATAAATAAATCTTTTAAAAAAAAAAAAAAGATTACTGAGAAAGTCTGAGATACAGAAAAAACAGGGTAGGCCCAGAACAGAGTGTAGGGGTCCACACATTTTAAGAATGTGGACAATAAAGGCACCTACAAAGGAAGACAAAGAAGAGCCTGAGAGATAGGAGGAAGCCAAGAAATAGTTCTGAAGTTGCATAGTCTAGGATTGGATTGAGGGATAGAAAACCCAAATGAGTAGCTCAGTGAAGATCCAGCTTCTGTCTTCTATTTAAAACAAGTGTGGAGGAAGACAGTCCAGGATCATCAGAGACTCGGTCTCTTTCTGTCTCTTGCCTTAAATTCTTAGCCCTGATTTCCACATGCACAGTGACTTTGTGGAAATAAGATTGCTGCTACGGCTCCAGCGATCACATTCATGTTCCAGCAGCAAGAGGGAGAAGCAAAAGCAGATGTGACTCCCAGAAGCAACTTTCTAGACTCTTTTGAAGTGCTTTCCTCAAAGCTCTTTCCCATCCTACCCCTAACTTTCACTTACACCTCACTGGCCACCCTCAAGGGAAACTACAGCCTCTTAGCAGAACACACTGCTTTCCTGAAGATCTAGGTTCTGTTAGTAAGGAAGGGGAGGCCACTGGCAGGCTCTAACATAGAAGAGAGATGAAATTTCTGGAAGGGAAAAGTGGTAGGATGCATTAGCTCAGGAGCAAAGGGCTAACCACTGCACTTGGCAATGAGGTCACTGGCTTCCTTCTGCAGGATGAAAGGGGAAATGGAAGTGGCTCGAAGTGTGAAATGGGGAATGAAGCATGTGCGCGGATCACACTCGGCAGGTCCCAGACAAGGGGACCAGCTTGGAACATACAGAGAAGATGCTGAACCAAGAGAGGTTTGGGGTTTTTTATTTCGAGATGTGAGGACTTAAGCATAATAATGGATGTGAAGGCTGAGCCAGAGAAGGGAGGCGAAAGGTTCAAAGAGAATGGGATGGTTGAAGGGCCAGGGGAGATGGAAGCGAATAAGGGTTCAGGAGTGTGTGGGGAGCAGCCATCCCCAGTCTGGACAGAAGAGAAGGATGTTGGAAAGGGGGAGTGGGTGCAAATGGGAAACCTATGATGTCCCCGGCATCAAGGTCTTAATGAGAAAACAGTCAAGGTCATCTCCCCCCTGTGAGGGGGTGGGAGGCAGTCAAGCGCCCTGAGGAGGGTGACGAAGTCCTCGTTATGCAATGAGGGTCTGAAAGGGGCCTGAGAAGGTGCTGAGGGCCAGTGTACCTGGAAACCCTAGATCCATACTAGTGGTGACCTACCGGGTAGAAATTCTCTTCAGCGACACTCAAGTCAAGCAGCAGCAGAGAGGGGAAGATGAGGTGATCAGGACCGAGGGTTCTGGGGGCAGAGGGTGCCCTGGAGGAGGGAAGGCAGTGCAGGAAGCTGCACAGAGATCTCAGTGCAGGAGCAGAAGCCCAGGAGGTCACCGCCACTGGTGCTAAGTACTTTCTGTGCATTATGTCATTTAATCCTCATGTCTACTCTTGAAACAGGAGCTGCTTTTATTCCCATTTTTCAGATGGGTAAACTGACACCCAAAGAGAAATTCATAGCCAGGTGCCCAAGATCCATCAACTCAGAACTGGAATTACAACCAAAACCAACTCTAGGGAATTCACTCAACTTGATTCCCATTCTTCTAATAATAAAAGCAAACATTGGGAAATTCTGGTTGTGCCAAACACCAGTATGAACATAAAATATGACCCATCCTTATTCAGTTTTCACATTAATCCCAGGAAGCACAATGGATTGCTCCCATTTTACAGATGAGAAAACTGAGACTCAGAGAGGTGAGGTGATCTATTAAGCTCTCAAAGCTGATTAGTAGCAGGCATAGATTCAAACCTACATCCATTTGGCGCCAAGCCAAAACTCTTTCCTCTCCCCTTCCCTCAAAGCTCCTCACTCCTTTCTTCTGGGGAAGGACAAGTATGGGCACCAAGGCCTATGTCTGCCTCTCTCCTGTACCTCCCTCTGATTAAGGCTTCGCTTTTCCCTCCAATCATGGATTTATTTTGGGAACCTAGAATGTGGTAAAGGCCATAGTGCCAGCCTCGAGGAGTCAGTCCCTCCTCTCCTCTCGTACCCCTGCACCCTACCATCCCCATTACTGGGCCTCAGCAGAAAGGATTAGGTTTGGGGCCAAGAGGCCCCTCTAGGCAAAATCCTGGCAGCCAGACCCAGGCGGCTCCTGGTGCTGCACATTGGGCACCTCTCAGGGATTAAACTATCCCTCTGGTCCCATCCAGGGCCAAGATGGGCATTCCTCTCCCTCCAGCACCATCACCACCACTCACACCTCCCCAGGAGGGCCCTGGCTCTCATCTCTGTCCAGCTACAACTGAAAAGCCCCAGGAGTTGGGAGTGGGCATTTGTAGATTTGAGTGTCTCTCTTAGAACTCCTGACTATCAGCAAAAGAATCCAATTTGATTCCTTATGCTTGAGGGGTATTTCACAAAGAGGAGGGCAGGCTAGAGAACCAGGCCCAGAATTAAGTCCAGGGGAAGGAGGGCTGGGTCCTTCCCACAGCCCCAGCAATGTCTCAGCATATCCCATTGGCTCTGACTGGTCCTTGTGGCTGAGGAAACACAATGGCTCAACTGGCTCAGTCAGGTCACAGGTTCCACCTCTAAGAAGGAGGAGCTTCCCACAAAGCAGATGGACCAAATGTGGCCTAGGGAGGATCCTGGGTGCTGGAAGTCAAAACCCAACCAACTGCCTCTAAATGGGCTTCATATATTATTTCTTCCATCCGTGTAGGCCAGAGGCCTCTCTTGCTTGGTACTGTGCCTCTTCCATCATACTGAAAGGTCCCCTGGAGCAGCAAGGGCCAGGCTTGAACATACAGAGGGAGGGAGAGCAAGAGGGATAGGAGGAGGGAGCAAGGAGGGAAGAAGGAAGGTGCACTTTTTATTTATTTTTTTTTAAAGATTTATTTATTTATACAAGCACTGGATACAGTGAGAAGCGCAGGAGGATAAGAGAATTCACCAGAGCCAGAGCGGGGAGCAGAGCAGGCAAAAGCACACTGCTGAGGGGAGCAGCGGGCGGCAGGAGAGGTCTGCGCGTCATGTGGGACCCTCCTCTGGTGGCCGGGGAGCAGCCAGGAATCGAACCTGTGCTGCAGAGGCTGCGGACAGCTTCGCAACCCAGCGCTCAACCGCTGCGCCACAGGGGAGGCCCAAAGGTGCACTTTCTAAGCACCCATTATGTGTTTAGTCCAGAGCTGGGCCCTTGCACACAGGTTAACCCTGCAGACAGGACAGTAATCCTAGCAGAGCAAATGGCCTTGCAAAGGTATGAGGTGTGACACTGTGAGTGGCTGAGTGATTCAGGTCTGGAGGCCAGAGAGGCACGACAGGGGAGGAGGCTGAGGCTGGAAAGGAGGAGCAGGGCCTTGTTGGGGAAGGCCTGGAATTCTGGGTCAAAAAGCTGGCCTCCTGATGAAGACAGGGCAGCCACTGAGCTTTGACCCAGCCACCTCCCTTCCCACTAGGGCACAGGGTCCATTCACCCTACAAAGTGAGGGTGGCAAAGCCCTTGCCTGGATTCTGGGGGCTCTTGCAGGAAACTCCTGGCGCCCAAGTTCAGACCCTCTACTTGGTGGGCCTTCATCTGGATGCGGGTTATGTCCACCCCAGCAGGGTGAAACAGACAAGCAAGGAGAGCTAACAACGAAGACACGGGCCCCGATGCCATCTCCGAGCCCACAGAAAGGGGCAGGAAGGGGAGCTCTTAGTGGAGATGAAAAAACAACAATGCCGACTTTTAAACTACTTGAATGACGCTAAAATTGGACTGGAAAACAAAATAATCACTGCGTTTTATCTAGAAAAACACATATAACTTTGTTTTTAACTCAATTAAAATGAGTCTTGGTCTGGAGGCCATGGATTCATTATATGATTTGATCAGTGTGTTAACAATTACCAGCCCCAATCTCCCTGCAATTGATGTGTACATACACCCACGTCTCTGTAGACTTGTCGCCTCTTGTCAGGCCAGCCCGAGATGCCTGTGACTGCAAAGGTGCCACTGAAGTATACACAGCCCCGACCCATAGGGTAGGGTAGTAAAGCCTCAGGGTCCAAAGTCAATGGGACTGGCTAGGTTTTGTGGCGGGGCCTTGAGATATACTCAGAGAAGGTAAACACCAGGGAACAATCTGGACTCAAATCATAGTTCCATGAAACCTCACCTCTCTGAGCCTCAACTCCCTCATCTGTGAAATGGAGAGAACAACACGGACGCCCTTGGAATTGTTTGAGAAATCTGATGGCAAGGCACCTTGCACAGTGTAGCCCACACAGCAGGCCCACAGAAAATGGCCAAGTTCCTCCCCTTATTTGGTCCCACTGGTTGGTTGAATCCTTTCTCTTGCCTTACCCAGAATGCAACCCCAAACCTACCCACAAAGCCTAGAGAGAGATAACATCCCCTTATAAGGTGACTACAGCAGCAGGGCTCACTGGGTAGGTCTGATCGGTCTCAGACAGAGAGACTAGACGCCTCTCTGGGCCTAGCCTGGAGCCATAGCTGCCGCCAGTTGATGGCCTGCCCTGAGTCACAGCAACAAACAAAGCCTGCAGCTTCCCCCAGCAACGGCCCCCCCACAGGTGAGCCCATTTATCTGCAGCATCTCAGTGGAGCCAGTGCTGTCAGGGCCGGCAGGGCACTTGCTGAAGACCCAAGTCTGAACCTGCCAGGCCTAGTAAAAAGAAGAGCCGCTAGGCCCCACTCCCTAGGCAGGGCCATGTGGAACTCTGGAGATGCTGGAGGCCGTTACAAGTGGCAAAGGGCTCCCTTCTTCCAGTCACTCAGCATCAGATGGCAGCAGTAGTGTCACCCATCACGCTCTGCCCGAGCCTTCCCTCATCCCCATCATAGCCAGGACTCAACTCCAAACCACCTGAACTCACCTGCCAGTGACTGCGAAGAACTGGACACTAGGCCAGATGTGGTCCAGTCAGTGCTGTGAGGGAAAACATGGGCTCTGAAGCTGGATGGCCTGCGTGTGCACCCTGGTCTGGCACTTTGTAGCTGTGTGTCCTGGGATGAGTTACCTCCATGCCTCTGTTTCCTCATCTGCGAAACAGATACATGCCTCAGAGTTGCTGCAAGGATAGGAAATTTAGAACAACCCAGAGTAAGTACTCCAACGTTGCAGTTTTTTTAAAGTTGCGTCAACATTTTAAAATAAAGAGATTTCATAGGAAAATCTAGATTTCTGGGTTTTATTGAAAAATAGACTTGAGAAGGCATAGTCCCTCAAGGCACCAACTGAAACCAGTGGTATCTGTCTCATTGTACCTTAGACTCAAAATAGAATCACCTGGGCAGCTATTAAAATATTTTGCTGCCGAGGCCCCACCCAAAACCAATTAAGTCAGATTCTCCAGGGGTGGGGTCGAGAAAGCTTACATAGTAAAAGTGCCTTGGGGGATTCTAGTGGAAAGCCAGGATGGGGCGCTGCTTTAGGGAGACTGTGGGCTTTATCATTTTACTGTGGTTTATTTTAATTAGAGAACAATGACAGGTTCCCCGCCCTTTTAAAAGTGGGAAACAGAAGCCAGACCCAGAAGGCCCTCAGGATCTCTCTCACACTTGACCAACAGCTTGTTTATGTGTCCAACCCAAAAGCTGCCATCTGTGACACTCGTCTCCACCCCCTCCTTGGCCAGCCTGATCCACGTGTTGCCTCAAGACAGGTAATTTCTAAGTCCCTATCTTCAATTCAACCTCCTCTCTTCCTAGGCATATCAAGAACTCTTGCTTCTCGGTGCCTCCAGCTCCTACACCTTTCATGACTTCTTTCCCAGCAAACTTCTCATTTTTTCATCTCACTACTCAGGGGCCACCTCCTCCAGGAAGCCCTCCTCAATTTGCCAGAGTCTTTCTCCCTATCTCCCTGGATCATACTGTACATTTCCCTAGCCGCAGACTATTTTTCATAGTATTCATCCTTTAGAGGTCTATTCCCCACTGGATAGGGAGTTTCTTAAGAGTGAAGTCTTGGGGCCTCCCCGGTGGCGCAGCAAGTTGAACACGGCACTGTGAAGCTGTCCGCAGCCTCTGCAGCAATGGTTTGATTCCCGGCTGGCCAGGGAGCAAACCACATGGCGAAGCAGACCTCTCCTGTCTCTCCCACTGCTCCCCTCAGCAGTGTATTTCAGTCCATCTGCCTGATCTTCTCCCTGCTCTGTCTCTGGTGAATCCTCCCACCCTGCTGCACCTCTGGCATGTACCCCAGTGCTTGCATAAAAATAAAATTTTTTTTTAAATGAAGTCTTGGCTAGAGCCCCTAGTTTAGACCTAGTTTAGGACCTAGCTTCCTGACCTCACAGCCTCTGTGTTGGCACAACTTGCCTCCCTCATGATTCCCCTCCTGACTGCTCTCATCTCCAGCCAGCTTCATTTCCCCCACTGACTACCTCAACCCTTCCTCATCAATAAGGTCAGACATGGAAACTGATCAGGTCACTTCAACTCTTCACTGAGTCACAGTGAAAGTTGGGCCCTTACGTCAAGGGCCCCTCCTTATCCAATCAGCTGTGGCTGTAGTGAGGGCTCATGAGGTACAAATATGGATGGCCTGAGCAAGGATAAGGGCAGGAGAGCTTACTTTCGAAATGGTTGTGGCCACTGCAAGCCAGTGATTGCCATGCCCAGTACACTTCTTGTGCTGGACCTGAGGGTCCCCATTTGCTAACATCCTCAATGAGCCCCCCTCGTCTCTGCTCCCTCTCGCCTTCCTCCAACCATCCTATCACCTCTCACAACTCGAGACTCGTACTCCATCCAGTGCCAGCTGAATGCATGGTGCCAGCCTCCTCCTCTTCATCTCAGGAGATGAAAAGATGCTGGAGGCCGTTACAAGTGGCAAAGGGCTCCCTTCTTCCAGTCACTCAGCATCAGATGGCAGCAGTTATGGCGCCCGTTGCCCTCTGCCCACGCCTTTCCTCATCCCCATCATAGCCAGGACTCAACTCCAGACCATCTGAACTCACCTGCCAGTGACTGCAAACCACTGGACACTGGGCCAGATGTGGTCCAGTCAGTGCTGTGAGGGGAAAACACGGGCTCTGAAGCTGGATGGCCTGCGCTGCACCTTGGTCTGGCGCTTTGTAGCTGTGTCCAGGAGGGCTTCAGAGTAAGTCTGAGGTGGGGTTGCCCCATCCAATGCAGAACACTCAGATATACAGGCAACATTTAGCATAAGCACATCCCAAACAGTGCATGAGACATATACAAAAAAATTCATTGTTTATCTGAAATTCAAATTCAACTGTATGTCCTGGTTTTTTGGTTTTCTGGTGTGTTTTGTTTCCTTTGTGCTAACTGGGGCGACTCTGAAATAGGTCCCCTTCGGGAGGCGGGTCCAGTGGGATTCACACCTCACCAGGAAGCAGGTCCCTGGATACATCTTGCTTGAATTCCTCTGAACGCACCATCTCCCAGAAGCCAGCCTCTCAGGGGGATGAGAACGGGATGGTTTTCTCTGAGTCTCAGAATCCCGGCCCCACAGCTCGCTCCTTCCTGTCCGCTCAGAGCCCGGAGGGGCTTCGGCGGTCCCAGGTCCTCCCCGCCCCATAACTGAGGCTTCCGGGTGGGCTGGCCCTGCGAGGCCTTAGCAGAGGCCCAAGCACATTCCGGGACCCAACTCAGCTCCCCTCGCGTCAGTGGGCGCCATGATGCACAGACAAGGCTCCCCTCAGCCCTGGGCCTCGCCAGGGCTCTGAGCCGCAGCACGTGGCTTCCTCCCAGCAGCCCCTGCGAAGCACCAGTCGCTTCTCATTGGCTCTGACTGGGTCATTGCCCCACCCCTGACCCAATCGGCGCACCAGGGAGATCCAATGTTCTGATTGGCCAGGTCTGAGTCACATGCCCCCTAAGGAGCCAGTGGGCGGAGCCAATCTCCCAGCGCTCCTTAGGTGCAGCCCCAGAGGGTAGAAAGAGGGGGTGTGGGGTCCATGCTCATCACACACACCCCCTCAGGTTGGTGGTTTAATATTTTTCAAGGAAAATATTAAAATTGTGTCCCCTTTTCCATGGAACATTTTTTCAAGTTTTACATTTACTGGTTAGATGATAAACTAGCAAAAATATTTTAATAAGAATTCAGGAGAGGGCCGCACCCCATCCCACCCCATTCCCCCAGCCCTCTGCCATCCACCTAACCAACCTTCCTCATCCACACACACCTAAGGCCATGAACAGCCCCCAAGGAGACCTCCTTTATCACAGTCCTGGGCACCTTACACCACGATCTTCAACACCCTTGGGTGCCACCTAAGGAATATCCATGTCTGTCAAGCCCTGGAGCTGACCATGAAGTCTGCCATGAGTGGTCATGGCTGGTATCATCACTATCTATGGTCTGGTGGTAGCAGTCCTAGTCACCAACGCCCAGAATGGAGTATCTCTCCACAGGAGTTTCCCCCAGCCGGACACTGGCCTGAGTGAGGACCTGAGTGGGCTGGCAATGTGGGAGACACCAGGATGGCATGCAGGGCATAGCCTAGCAGCCCCAGGTCATCATGGGCATGACCCTTATCCTCATCTTCACCCAACAGCTGGGACTCTGTAGTCTCATTGTCTCCCTCATCCTCTCTGAACCCACCAGCCACAGAATGTGATATAAAGAACCCCCTGCTCATTACAGAATAGCCTGACATACACTCCCTGCTCCCCCAGTAGTTGGTCCTCTAAATGCACAGGCACCTAGTGCCCACAGTCTCCTGCCTCCACCCTCCCCCTGTCTGCCTGTACAGCAGACATCCTGGCCCACTCACCCCCCCCCATGCAGTGAAGTGCAGGCCTGTTGTCTCCCCTGCCCATCTGCCATGGAGCACTCTGAGTATAAAGATGAATTACTTGTGGGTTTTTTTCTTTCCTGGATATTTATTTACAAAGGTTTCACCTGTTAGTTCATCTGTGGAGCAGCCCACCATCTCCCAATTATGTAGAAGGCCAGGCAGGGTGTTGCATTGTGGAGTTACCATTTGTTCTAAGGTTTTTTGAGTGAAACCATCCTCCCCCAGCCCTGAGCTGCCCAGGGCTGCAAGGTAGTAAGCTGGACCTGCCAAGCCCTGGCACCCAAGCTGTGTCCAATAAAGTTTTTGGGATTTTACAGGGAAAACATTATATAGAATGTGAATTCAGGGCCTCCCTGATGGCACAAGAGGTTAAGCACCGCACTATGAAGCAATCCGCAGCCACTACAACATGAGTTCAATCCCGGCCGGCCAGGGAGCATCCGACATAGCAAAGCTGACCTCTCCTGTCTTGCCCACTGCTCCCCTCAGCAGTGTATTTCAGTCAGTCTGCCTGTTCTGCTCCCCGCTCTGTCTCTGGTGAATCCTCCCCTCAAGCCTCTGGCCTGTACCCAGTTCTTGTATGCATAAATAAATAAATCTTTTTTAAAAATGTGATTTCCTGAATTCCTCAAAACTGATTTGTATTTTATTCATCAGTTTGACATTTATATGTAGGTACTTAACCTACAGAGAACACCTGAAGCATTTTGACTCACAATTACCCCACCTGCCTTCCTCCCAAGAATGGATCCATCAAGAGCCTTATGGGGAAATCACCCAACCTCTATTTGATGAGCCTCTTCAATGAATGGCAGATCCCTCTCCTACCTTGTCACAGCCCCTTCATCATGTATATCACTGGGTACAAGCAACAGAAATAAACCTTACTAACTTCAGCAAAAGGAAATACAATGGAAGGCTGCTGAGAGCTCCCAGGGCCCACAGGGAGCTGCAGCACCAGATTTGGCACTCAATCACGCCACAGAGGATGAAAAGGAGAAGATACTGCATTGGGTTCACAACTGGAGTAATACAGTGAGGATCCCAGGGATGGAATGGATCAGTGTCTTCAGCTCAAGACTCAATGCCCATACCTTTTGTTTAGCCTGCCTTTCCCTTGAGAAGATAGGACCCCCGAGATAATTCCCAGAAAAGAAACCAGAGCCTTGGTCTGCAGAGTGCTGGACACCAGGAGGAAGAAGCGATGAGCATTCCCCGCAGAGCTGGCACTCCCTTCAGGTGGTTTAGCTCTGCCTACACCCTCAACAATCAGGAGTGTGGTGGTCAATTATTTTGCTATTAGAGTTGCCACCATTTTTTTTTTTCCTTTTTGGTTATTCTGGAAGCATTCACTTGAATTTTTCCCTGCTCTGGTTTTCTTTATGTTTCCATAATCTTTCGGCTCCTGGGTGGTCTGGTTTCCGACAGGCAGCAGCGTCAGCTGGTTCTCACAGAGTCCATGTGCTCATGGAGGAAATGTGGCCTGAGCCGATGTCACCCCACCCACGGAAAGGAAGTGACAGCTACGCACAGCGGAGAAATGTATGGGTTGTAGCCATAAGGATGATTTTGGTTACTAGGAACAGAAAACCCCATTCAAACAGCCATAAACAATAAAGGCAATTTGTTGGCTCCCATGTTTTAAAAGTCCTTCAGGAAAGGCTTGATCCAGCAGCTTAACGATGCCAGAAAGAACCTGGTATCTTTCTCTCACTCTACTTGCCTTTTTTTTTAAAAAAAAAAAAGATTTATTTATTGGGGGCCTCCCCTGTGGTGCAGCGGTTGAGCGCTGGGTTGTGAAGCTGCCCGCAGCCTCTGCTGCGCTGGTTCGATCCCCGGCTGCTCCCTGGCCACCAGAGGAGGGTCTTGCATGGTGCGCAGACCTCTCCTGCCGCCCGCTGCTCCCCTCAGCAGTGTACTTCGGTCCTTCTGCCTGCTCTGCTCCCTGCTCTGGCTCTGGTGAATTCTCTCTCACCCTCCCGTGCTTCTGACTGTACCCAGTGCTTGTATAAATAAATAAATAAAATCTTTAAAAAAAAAAGATTTATTTATTTATACAAGCACTGGGTACAGTCAGAAGCGCAGGAAGGTGAGAGAGAATTCACCAGAGCCAGAGCAGGGAGCAGAGCAGGCAGAAGGACCGAAGTACACTGCTGAGGGGAGCAGCGGGCGGCAGGAGAGGTCTGCGCACCATGTGGGACCCTTGCCGGTGGCCAGGGATCGAACTGGCGCTGCAGAGACTACGGGCAGCTTGGCAACCCAGCGCTTAACTGCTGTGCCACCGGGGAGGCCCTTTACTTGCCTTTTTTAAGGCGGGCTCTCCTGATAATCCCAAGATTCCTGCCAGCAGCTTCAAGGCAAAGATCAATCAGTCACCTCATTTGTGCTCAGTAGCACAGCAGAGAAGCATCTTTGTCCCAGAATTTCCAGCTGAACTTCACTCTGAGGGTCACATGCCCAACCATAAACCGGTCCCGAAGTCAGGCGTTGAAGTGCCACTTGGTGATTTGGCCCCATTCCTGCCTGGTATCAAAGGTGGAGTCAATCCCTGGAACAACATGAATCCCCAACCCAGAATCAAGACTATCTAGGAGGCGAGTGGGTAGGAGTGGAGGCACCTCAGGAAAATCAGCCACACAAGCCCACTCACTGGGCAGCCACATACACGGGAATTAGTTGAGTCACCATCATAACTGCAGCTCCCACTATGAGTTAAATGACTTAACAAATCATCTCAGAACAGAACGCTGGGAAATGGTTTTTTCATCTTATTTTGCAGCGAAGGAAGCAGGTTAAGTGATTAGAAACATCATAGCTTTTATAAGTCAGAGGCAGGATGTAAACCAAGATCTATCCGATCCCAGAATCCATTCTCCTAACCTCTACCCCATTCTGCCTCTCAGTCATGTGCAAGACGCTGATGGGGACACCAAGAAGGGGGCACATTTATTCAACTGGCCTTAACTGAGCACCCACTATATGTCAGGCATCCTGCCAGACTGGGTCCTCCGAGCTCAGTGAGGTACAATAGCTACCTTCTGTGAGATTCTGGCCTAGAATGGGACATGGGCCCCAGCTATAACAACAGCCCAGTGGGTGCGCTATTTATTGCTGTGTTGGGTAGTTCACATGTATTATCTCACTGAATCCTCACCTCATGCGCTGGGCAAAATGGTCATACCTCTTCTGGATCCCTGAGTTAACAGAGAGACAGCGAGGTTAAGTCACTCCAGATCATTTGGCTGTTTGGGAACTCTACCTGGTCTCACTCTCCAGAAGCTGAAGGGTCACTCGAGGTCAAATCAGTGAGAAGACAGCCATGAAGATAGAGATTCACTAGGTGGAGAAGGCATCCTGGAGATGGACATGTTTTGCTGAGCCATGAAGAATGAGGGCCCAGAGCTGGGCCTCCCTGGTGGCCTAGGGCTTAAGCCTCAGCACTATCACTGCTACGGCCTGCATTAGATACCCCACCAGGGAGCTGACCCACATGGCACAGCAGACCTCTCCTGTCTTGCCCCCTGCTCCCCTTAGCAGCATATTTCAGTAAATTCACCTGTTCTGCTCCCCACTCTGTCTCTGGTGAATCCTGTCACCCCCTCCTCACCTCTGGCCTGTACCCCAGTTCTTCTACACAAAAGAAAAAAAATAAATTCCCTGGGCTGGTGCTGGTAATGACCACCTCCCCCACATGCTCTGGGGATTTGTCTTTGCAGTATTCACACCTCTGGGAATTTCCATCCCAGAATCCTAAACAGAAACCTGCTTAACGCTCTTTCTCAAACACCCAGGG